CTGCTTACGGATCGGCGTCCGCTGACCACCGACCACTTTCCTCGACAGCAACCGGAACACGCTTTATATTTATGAAATATAAAACACACCGAGCGTCGCCCAAGCATCGATAAAGCCCAGAGCTATTTGATTACATAAACGGAGTATCCTAAACAGGCCGTTATAACCTAAAATATAATGCAGTATTATGATAATATCTTTAGAGCAGGAAAAAAACTCGAATAAACATAACGTAGGTACATTATTCCAATAAAAAATACTTCCTTGCTTGATATCAGGTGATCAAGCTATGAGTAAAAAACCTATTCTTTGTGTTTCCGAGGTAAGTTTCGGCAAATGTTAAAAGGCAATGTCAGATATGAAACAAGACAATGAACGTAAGTCGCCTTCCATCAAATTCAAAGCCCCTTCTAATTTTACAGTAACGTTTTTACAAAAGGTAAGTATATATGCCTTAACGTTAGATCCGAATAATGGATATGTACTACATGAGGGACAACATTATCAAAAATTACGATTTGATTTCTAAAAAAGACTTCTAAACGGATTTTCTATCATAGTCGAGAAATATAGCCTGGAGATAAACTGCATGTGGAACAAATTAATTCAGAATAAGCTGTAGCTTTGGCCAAACGCCTTAATGAGGGAAACAGCAAATATGATACAATTCCGAATTTGTACGTGATGGCTTGTCATTAAAAATCATATCTTTACTTGAAAAGGCTTTATTCCACAATTTCAGCTGTGTAAATAAAGCGTTTTTATGTTCTGTAATAGAATTCTTTACATGCCTTTGTTCAAATCAACTCGGCGACGTTGTCACACTTAGTATCCAATCGAAGGGCTTAAATAGCACGGAACCGTGGACTACCGAAAGAGCTTCTCTAAACGACTAGATGCAGAGAGGCGGTGCACTGTTGAAGCACACTTCAGGTTAGTTGCTTCTATCGGTGCTACACTGCCGAACTATCGGTGTAAATATGGGAAACTTGCCCCTTGTTCCGGATGGACATTTTCGATATATAAATTTGTGATCAGTATCTTCATCTTCATCTTCCATCGCCGCTTCTCCTTTCGGGTCGCCGAGGCAGACGCATCAGACAATGCTTCCAACGTTCCCGATCCTGTGCCAGAGTCTGAGCTTCGGCAAAAGACAAATGCAGTCT